TCATTCCTTGTTAAGTTGGGTTTCTGGACTGGTAGCAGTCAGAGGGCCTAGGTCAGTAGTTTTGGATTATGCACGGTATAAAAGCAAGTAAACTTGTAGTTGGAGAAGCAGAATCTACTGCGATGTCATTCCCATCTGACGACCTAGTGGCTGGTGGTGCAGTAAGACACCAGCAAAGTACACATTAATAACTGAATTTCAGGCTTTCCTAGCCTTCAGTGACCTCATCCAGGATGGACCTGTCCTGGTGAAGTTAGATAGCACAATGACTGGCCAACATCCGGAAACAAGGGGGCACTTAGTGTCTCCCTCTGGAAGGAGGTTTCTCTGATTCTAGAGTTGGCTCAAGTTAATATCCTGCAGCTGTCAGCTGACTATGTACTCAGTCGGAAGAATCTTTAGGCAAACAATTTGTCCAGGAAAATCCTGGATGACAATGAATGGCCCAGACTGCTAATGAGCTTGGTAATCTCTTCCAGAGGTAGACCTGTTCACATTCTCAGTCAACACCAAGTTACTTTCGATTCCAGGGTCCTGCATCCACAAACAATCGGGGTGGAAGTGTTCATTGCAGAGTGGATCTCCAGGACAGCTTATGCCTTTCTGCCTCTCCGATTCTCAGCTTCCTGCAGAGGCTATGGCAGGGGAAGGTGATAATTCTGGTGGTGATCCCAGATTGGTTTGAAGGGGCCTTGGTACCCTCTGCCCCTCCCAATGACTGCCAAGGATCCACTCCCTCTGCGGGTAAGATCGGATTATCCAAAGTTACATTCATCCAACACCTGACAGGCTCAAGCTCATGGCTTGAGTCTTGAGAGGCAGAGGCTAATAGATATCGGGTGCTTTGTAAAGGTTGTGAATACTCTTATGAAAGCAAAGAAGAACAGCACTAACAGTGCCTATAGTAGAGTATCAAATACATTCACAGGATTGCTGCTGATCAAGGTTTTACACTGGGTTCTTCACAAGTCTGTCACATGCTGAAGTTTCTGTAGGCGGGGCTTGATTTAGGTTTATGCGTAAGTACTCTATGGGACCACATTTCAGCTATCTCTGCCTTCACCGGCATACAGTGGGCATCCAACACTCAATTATACTGTACGTCAAGCTGCAACTTGGTTGAAACATACCTAAGGGATTGTTTGTGAAGTGGAATCTCCCATTGGTGTTGGACTTGTTTGCGTCAGATGCTTTCAATTAAAGTGGCCCCTTGTGGTACCTCACTGAAAACTGCTTTCATGGTGGCAATTACATCAACCAGAAAAGTGTCTATATTAGTGGCCCTGGGGTTTAAAGAACCCTTTTTTACGTTCATCCCGGATAGGGTGGTACTCATGCTGATGCTCAAGATCGTGCCTAAGTGGCCTTCAGAGTCCATATCACACGAAAAGTTGTCCTTCCTACATCCCTCTTGGGGAGTACCCAAGATGTTAGCCCATCAGATGTGGGTCAAGCTTTGAAATTTAACATCAAGGCGACATCTGGCATCAGGAAGTCGGAGCACTCCAGGTGGAGCATGTAATGATTTTATGGCTTGTTGGTGAAGCTCATCTTCTTGGCCTAGAAGTTGAAAAGCTGGCTGTGCCAGGGGGATCACTTCACTGTTCCACCCAAAGGGTCTCAACCTTGTGAGCAGCAGCAGGCTGAGTGTTCCCAGACACTATCTGCAAGGCAGTTACGTGGGGATGAATAAATATACGTTCATGGCCCATTACTGTATAGAAGCAGTCCTAATGACAGTTGAGTTTGGCAGAGGCATCCTGGCTTCTGATTTTTAGCCAGAATTGAGGAGTGTGTAGCATTATCCCTCCCGTGTGTGGCTAGTTAGTTCCCAGCTGTGCTGATATGGAACTGTCAAGAAAATAGAAAATTGAATGACAGATACTTACCGTAATTTTCCTTTCCTGACAAGCTCCATGTCAGCACAGTTCCCACCCAGCTTGGTAGGACTAGTTAAAAACCGCTGAGGCTGCAGGTGGGCTCACATTTATGAGTTAGGTCCTGGAAGCATGGGGGGGGGGGGGGGGGGGGGGGGGGGGGGGGGGGGCAGGACCCTTACCCTAGCTGTGCTGACATGGAGCTCGTCAGGAAAGGAAAATTACAGTATATGTCATTCAATTTTCCATTTTTTTAGCACTGAAGACATTTTTGTCTTTTTCAAAAAGCTGTATAACACATATATCTTCTATTCTGGTAACACTGGAGACCTCTAGGTATTTGCAGTATTTCAACTCATATTCAAATCTAGGTTCACGATAAGTCATTGACCTTGAAATATCAATTTTTAAAGGATGGTTCCATTAAACCTACCATAAAGGTCCACGTTCAGACACCTGTGTTCCTGTGTTGTCAACCTACCACATAGGCTTGGACTAGTGGCCTAATGGCCATTTCAACACACATTTTGTAGGCATGGTCCACTGTTGTCACCATCAGGAAACACACCCTGGAAGAAGCCATGCAGCCACTGCTGGAGCAGTGCTGGGACAAGGTCCTTTAGGACCAAGACAAGACAAAGGTTAACTTTCCCCCCCAACTCCATGAGCTGTGAACTGTCAGGGTTGCTGGCTGCAGCCCTGTCTTTGTCAACTGAGGGGTAATAAATCTGGCAACTTGCCCCCTGCAATTAGTCTAAGCACCCTTTTTAATGTGATACTGAAGGATTCTTTTTTTTTTTCCCTGAAATCAAAAGAGGGTTATACTTACCATGTCTGTGCAAGGATATTGCACAGAGCCGGCCTAACCTTCTCTTCTGGGGTCCCCTGGCTGTCCTCTCCTCTGTGTGCCCCCATAGGAAGTTGTGTGCTATGGGGGCACTCTCCCGAGCCAGGCCATGTGTGTCTATAGACACACACAGTTTGACTCGGCCACACCACCTGCTCACTGGATTTGACCGACAGCGGCAGGAGCCCATGACTCCCACTGCTCTCGGTCTGCCTTGTGACAGAAGAGAGAGCAACAGTGCGTGCAGATGGGACATCGCTGAACTGAGAGAGGTCTCTTCCTATTTAGGGAGGAGGGGAAATGGAACAGCTAGTAGAAGGGTTTTTTTTTACCCTAATGCAAGGAGTGCAAAAAAAGTAAGTCTTTTACTTAGCACTACTTTAAGCATCATTATCTTGTGTTTTAGTGCTTGTGACTGCGTTTCCTAGATTAACAAATAGGTTTCTGGGTTACTGTTTCTGAACTGACCCTTGGCTACATCTGTTGGATTATTCTCTTGTTTGCTGCCAGTCCTGACCCTCAGCTACTTTTAGCAAAGTACTCTCTTTTGTCTGTTTCCCTTCTTGAGCCTTAGCTATGTGTCCTGGATTATTCTTTCAGCATTTTCAGCTCCTGACCAGGGGTGGACTGACAATTCATGGGGCCCCCGGGCAATAGGGGATCATGGAGCCCCTGTGTCCTTGCCCAAACTCAAAAAAGCCTATGAAAAAGATACCAGGGGCATCTCATGGGGCCCCCTACTGACCCTGGGCCCATCCGCCCCTGTTCCTGACACTTACCACTGCCCTACAACATGTTTTTCTGTGGGCCTGAGTCAACATCCATGGAGAGAGCATCCAAATACCAGTAGGCACACTAGCTTTAAGGGGAAGATGGCTGCCAAAAGGTTAAACACATGTTATTTTATTAAAATCTGCACAGAAACCAACCAGCTTCCAGTTTTTTTTTCAATGCTTAATTGAACAAGCTGAAGTTAGAAGCTGATTGGCTACCATGCACAGCTGCACCAAGTTTTGCACACTCCAGTTTTAGTAAATCAACCCTATTGCCCTTGATCCCCTCATGTTTTGCATTGTATTGGTATTGTTCTGTCACATGTTCTGTCTCCCTTTGTAATGTACAGCGCTGAGCGAACTATTGGCGCTTTATAAATACTGTATAATAATAATAATAATAATAGTCAACATATACTCCAACCAGGGGGTTTGCATATGATGCCCTAAATGAACTACTTCAGCAGCATAGGTTGCGGATCCTGCCCTTTTTGCAAAAATGTTCAGGCAGTTGCTTCTTCTAAAAAACTCCTCTGGCCAGCCCTGGCTGAGGTACATGCATGTACACAGAATGTGGATACAAAGAAGCTTCAGTAACATAAATGCAGCAAAGGATAAAAAAAAAAAAAAAAAAAAAAAAAAAAAAAAATCAAAACAGGTATTGTATAAAAAAAAAAAAAAAAAAAAAAAAAAAAAAAAAATCTATATCTTGCATCTATTAGAATAATCTCCTTATTATCCTCTCCAATATACAGTTGTCAAAACACCATGCAGAGTCTGTAACAGTACTGTTCGCTCAATTCTCCCAGATACTGTATATACTTTCTGCTTTCTGTACCTGCCGATTTAGAAATGGAATTAGTTGCTGCAATGAAAGTATAGGAGTGTCATTTTTAGCTACTAATGCCATATATGTTAATTGCATTTACCTCTTGCTGTCTTTTCCAATAGTATTTCCTTGAGCTTTCCTTTAATTATTTGCATTTAGATTTGTTTTCTAGTGCTTTCCCAGAGACTATTTTCAGTTATTAGAGAGACCCTGTCACCAACTAAAAAAAGTAGAATCACAGAAAAATGTTTTTCCTTTCCATAAATGATTATACAGTAGCTGGGAGCAAAGTGTAGGGGAACACTATAGAGCAGACCCCTTGAAATAATGCTTAGGTCTCAGGGAACCTCTAATAAGATTAGTCCATCGCAGGTCATTGGGAAAATGCCCCTTACATTGAGGGTGGTACAGGGGTAGAATGCCCCTTACAGTGGTGGCCAGAATGACATTTTTGCAGTCATACTCCTGGCTCTGCCAATTGGCGTTGAACCTGGCACTGTGCAGGCACCATCAGATGAGAGGTCTATTAGCCACAGCTTGAAAATGGCTGCTATAGAGTGTCAATTAAGTGACATCCAGATGGTGGCACTTAGCAGCAGCTAAAATGAAATGCATGGTCTAGTATTAGGGTCACTTTAAAAAAAACAAAACACATGGTAGATTTTTCTACTAACCTCTCTCTGGTGTTTTCCAATCAGAGATCATCCAGATAACGTAGATGGCAATCAGGGGCCATAGCTGGCTATACACAATCCATGTGATGAGAAGTATGCAAACAGGACCTGCCAATACCATAGAACATTATTTAGGAAGAAGAATCTGAAAAAGTACGACAAACATCTAGATACATCCGGAAGTGTAACCCCAGCCAAAACGTTTTTCTAATTGTCCCTGTTTGGGGGGATAACTTTCTCCCTGGTCACCACTATTACTGGGACAAAAGTGAGGAGGCGATATGACCAATGTTCCCTCACTTTCATAGGAATTCCTCCTATTTCCTGTCTCTGGAGAAGGAAGCAATGAGAAATCACTCCTAAGGAGAAATACATTAATAAGGCCTCATTCATACAGACACTATCAGGCATCCAATGTAAATTGTAGTCATATATCTGTGCCCAAGAGAGACAATTGCCTGCCATGAATGGCTGCACACTAGCTGTATGTAAGCATACACTGCTTGCATAAATTCACACACAGACGTAAATCCTGGAACACACAATTGCTTTATGCTGCATCTGTCTTTCCCAGGCACAGACATATGCTCGCAGTATACATTGATTGTCTGAATGCGTCCATGTGCATTGGGCCTGAATACCTGATAGCGATTTGTATACTTTCCCTGTTCCAACCTAGAAAAAATGTTTTGTCTTGAGGTTTTCTATTGCAATTCACCAAAACCATTTCAGTTTTGAGTAGGTAACAGAATATATACTTAGCAGTTCTTTCAACATTTAAACGTAGAGTTCTTTCATATGTATCATAACTATATACACTATATTGTCAAAAGTATTGGGACACCTCTCCAAATAATTGGATTAAGGTGTTCCAATCCCCTCTATGGCCACAGGTGTATAAAATCAAGCACCTAGGCATGCAGACTGCTTCTACAAACATCAGCTCTGAGGAGCTCAGTGAATTCAAGCGTGGCATCGCGATAGGTTGCCACCTGTGAAATACGTCCATCCGTGAGATTTCCTTTCTACTAAATATCCTACGGTCAACTGTTAGTGGTATTATAACAAAGTGGAAACAACTGGGAACAACAGCAACTCAGCCATGAAGTGGTAGGCCACATAAAATGACAGAGTGGGGTCAGTGCAAGCTGAAGCGCACAGGGCGCAGAAGTCACCAACTGTCAGCGCTGAGTGAACTATTGGCGCTTTATAAATACTGTATAATAATAATAACTGTCAGAGTCAATAGCTAAAGACCCCCAAACTTTGCGTGGCCTTCAGATAACGTGGCACAAAAATGGTACATAGAGAGCTTCATGGAATGGGTTATCATGGCCGAGCAGCTGCATCCAAGCCTTACATCACGAAGTGCAATGAAAAGCGTCAGATGCAGTGGTGTAAAGCACGTCATCACTGGACTCTAGAGCAGTGGAGACGTGTTCTCTGGAGTAATGAATCAAACTTCTCTCTCTGGCATTCCGATGGATGTGTCTGGGTTTGGTGATTGCCAGGAGAACGGTACTTTCATGACTGCATTGTCCCAAGTGTAAAGTTTGGTGGAGAGGGGAATATGGTGTGGGGTTGTTTTTCAGGTGTTGGGCTTAACCCCCTAGTTCCAGTGAAGGGAACTCTTAAGGCGTCAGCATACTAAGACATTTGGACAATTTTGTGCTCCCAACTTTGTGGGAACAGTTTGGGGATAGCCCCTTCCTGTTCCAAGATGACTGCACACCAGTGCGCAAAGGAAGGTCTATAAAGACATGGATGAGTGAGTTTAAGGTGGAGAAACTTGGCTGGCCTGCACAGAGTCCTGACCTCAACTCAATAGAACACCTTTGGGATGAATTAGAGTGGAGACTTTGAGCCAGGCCTTCTCGTCCGAGATCAGTGCCTGACCTCATTAGTAAAAACTCATCTGGAAAATGCAGTTCAGTTTTGGGCACCAATTCACAAAAAAAAAAAAAATTGGGGAACTGGAGAAAAGTATAGAGAAGGGCAACCAAGCTGATGTGAGGCATGGAGGAGCTCAGCTATGAGGAAACATTAGAGGAACTGAATTTATTCTCTCTGTCATCACAGAGGACAAGGGGGCACTCTTTATGTCTGGAGAAAAAGAAATTTAATCTCCAAATACGGAAAGGTTTCTTTACAGTAAGAGCTGTGAAATTGTGGAATAGACATCCTCAAGAGTTGGTTATGGCCAGCTCAGTGGATTGCTTTAAAAAAGGCCTGGATTATTTCTTGGATACACAGAATATAACTGGTTACTAACATTTATAGGTAAAGTTGATCCAGGGAAATAACTGATTTCCACTCAGGGGATCAGGAAGGAATTTTTTCCCCTGCAGGTGCATATTGGATCATGCTTTGCTGGGTTTTTTGCCTTCCTCTGGATGAATTGTGGATGTAGGATTATAACTTTTTTTTTGTATGGTTGAACTAGATGGACTTTTGTCTTTTTTCAGCCAGACTAACTATGTAAACCTCACAAATGAGCTTTTGGAATAATGGTCAAACATTCCCATAGACACACTCTAAACTTTGTGGACAGCCTTCCCAGAAGAGGTGACGCTGTTATTGCTGAAAAGGGTGAGCCAACTCAATATTGAACCCTATGGACTAAGACTGGGAAGCCATTAAAGTTCATGTGCGTGTAAAGGCAGGCGTCCCAGTACTTTTGGAAATATAGTGTAGATAAAAGGATATACAGTGCCCAATTTATTTTTTATAAAACTTAAACCTTTGATTGCATAATTACATTTCATAATTACATTGGAGTTACACTGGTCTAGCTTGTACCAATGTAAGTATTCTGTACATATGCCGTACATGAGCATTTGCTGTGGAAGCAGTGAACTGTTGTAGTAATCACAACTCATACAGTGGTCACAGCTGCTTTAGCTCAGCAAGAGCGCCATTCACTGAACACCTTGCCTTTTTAGAAATGGTAACATTGATGCCCCCTTCTCCCTACCTTGTCCAATCAGGGAACACACTTCATTCAGAGAAACACAAGGCAGTCTGTGAATGGCACCCATGCCAAGTAGGCACGGGATCCGAAAGGCAATGGTGATTCTCCGAATCCACAGCAGTCCAACAGGTATGACATAGGCTTACTTACATTGGTCTAACCTACACAAAGGTAACTATGCAATGAAATGCAAACATGTTCAGCCATAACCCCGTGCTGTCCTTTGGCAAATAAATCCTGTGTCTAGATCAAGCCTCAATTTTTAAATATCTAAAGTGCCTTCCACCTTCTAAATTAAAAAAAAAAAAAAAAAAAAAAAAAAAAGAAGGTTTGCCAAATAATGCTCACTCTCTCTCTTCAACCCACTTCCTGTGAGCCTAGGCCACCATGGACACACACCCCCTGGTGTGCATTGCGCTGGCCTGGGCTCACAGTACAGCTGTGCTCCCACATCACTACATACACTCACTGGCCACTTCATTAGGTACACGTGTTCAAATACTTGGTAATACAAAATGCTAATTAGCCAATCACATGGCAGCAACAATGCATTTAGGCATCTAGACATGAAGACGACTGGCTGAAGTTCAAACCGAGCATCAGAATGGGGAAGAAAGGGGAGTTAAGTGACTTTGAACATGACGTGGTTGTTGGTAATAGGCAGGCTGGTCTGAGTATTTTAAAAACGGATGATCTACTGGGGATTAGACACAACCATCTCTAGGGTTTACAGAGAATGGTCCGAAAAAGAAAAAACATCCACACAGCAACAGTTGTGTCCACGAAAATGGCTTGTTGATGTCAGAGAAGAGTGGGCAGAGAAAGGCAACAGTAACTCATGTCAATATGGAACAAAATCTCTGAGGAATGTTTCCAACGCCTTGAAGAATTAAGGCAGTTCTGAAGGCAAAAGGGGGTCCAACCCGGTACTAGCAAGGTGTACCTAATAAAGTAGCCGGTTGGACTGTAAGACTTTGGGTGGGGAGGGTGGGGCAAACAAACACTCAAGAAAAAGAAAAAAAAGCCTTAGTTAATTGAATGAACATAAAAATATGTTTTAGGCTTTAGTGAGATTTCTTTCATGGCTAGTATAGGAAAGTGAATACCAACATACCCAGTAACAGAAAGGAGAGTATCCACTGTAATACACTAAGTATTTGCAGAATTTCAGTGTAAAGACCGTTGTGTTTGCGCCTCTCTTCTCTCTGTTCAATTGGGAAAACAAAGGTGAGAAAACATTACAAACTGTCGTTGTCTGTGTGGCAAACTTACCACTGCATACTTCCCTGTGTTTTCTAAAGTGTACTTATGGCTTCTGCATGTAATGCAGGTTGTTGTTGGCAGAGCTAGCAGAAGATTCTATGCAAAATACACATTCTAATGTTTTTAAAATGTGTATAGATGTTTGCGGTACACATTTCGTTTGTAGATGCAGTTTTGTGTATGGCTCCTACAGTGCTGCGTTTAGATGTTAGTTACAAAACTATACGCTGTATACATTTTATTTTAGGTACTTATATAGTGCCATCAATTACGCAGTGCTTTACATACATATTGTACATTCACATCGGCCCCTAACCCTCAAGGGCCGCACAAGGTATACATCTAAACACAACGTTATAGCCACCTGAGCGAATGAGCTCCAAAGGCTAACTGTAACTAGAACTTAATAATAGGTGGTAGGTAGCCCTGGTCTATCCAACTAGCTGGAAAGAAGTATGTCTTTGGCCACATAATATAACTGCTGCACTGGCAGGCCTTCTTATCCGGGTTGTGTGTTCAATCCTGTCACATGAGGGGCCTGCCTCATGTTACCAGTTAGTTTCTAAGAGCCAGAGAAAAGCAGACGTGCCCGTTTTGTAGGCAGAATCCGCACACTGTCTGCAAGTGCTAGTAGAGGAAGCTATGTGACTAGTATATCAGTTGTTAAAGCAGAACTAAACCCTTCTATACTTTACAGCAAAGGAAGCGGCCATCTTAGTCTCTGAGCTGCAGGTGCCATGGTGCTCCTGATCAGTTCAGACACCAGCATTTGATGGTTTGACAGTTCGGCTGAGAGCGCAAGCACTTGTGACAGTTATCATTCATGTCATGCCATGGATGTAACTGTTTTGGGAAACCATTAAATCAATGGGTTTAGTGTCACTTTAAGTATTGAGACTTTGTACTACAACTGTACATGCAAGCGTTCCAGACGCCATATGCACAGGCAGTGAGAGGGACACAGAACCATTGTAAAGCACCTCTTTGGAGGAGAGAAGTTGCTTTTGCAGTCTGTGTCCCTCTTGCACTGCCTGTGTATGAGACTCTGGGAATTCGGCATGTCCAGTTGTAGTAGGACTCAATCACAAGAGCCTTCTAAATGCTGCATTAAGACGCATACAGCATATAGTTTTGTACGCATCTAAAGGCACACAGCTGCGTTCACAAACAAAAATGTGTGCTGCGTTTAGCAGCATACATGAAAGTAGGACACAACTACATCCGGGGTCATACATATCTGCAGACTTTATGCATGTAAACTTATGTATAGGCAAGTCACTAGTCGAAACGTACTTGTCCAAATGTTGTATGTATCTAAACGTGAGTACTGTATTTTATGCAGAGCCTTCTGCGAGCTCTGCCAGCAATAACCAGTGTTCATTCAGAAAATATGTATACGCTTGTGGTAATGAGCCCGTACAAAGCGGGAGCATACACATAGAGGAGGCTTCTAAGTCACAGGGAGTGTGTCCGGGGGACAGATTAAAAAGTAAACTTAGAAGTAGAAATGTATAGAAATAACAGCTACTACTACATCCATGTTACATTATAGACTCTTAGATTGTAAGCTCCAAGGAGCATGGCCCTCCTAACCCTCTTATATTTAACTGTATTGTTGCTGTATTGTCTCCTGTTATATTGCAAAGCGCTGAGCAAACTGTTGGCGCTATATAAATCCTGTATAATAATAATAACAACAGTCAGGTTACTTTACCTGGAGCAGAGAATCAGGTCTTTTACCATGCCAAATTAGGTTGTGGTGTATCGAGCTGTGTAAATCTTGAAACTGGATGGACAGAAATGAAAATCCTTTGGCAGGTAAAATAATGGTTTCTGTTTGGGGCTGGGACCACCTTGTCCATGCACACGGGGACTTTTCTCTCTCTCCTCCTCTAATGTGTACACGCTCGCTAATGCCTGGGACAAGGCAAGGTACCCCGAATCAGAAGTGAGCCGTATACCCAATGTATTGGTATCACAACCTGAGTCTTGTTGACTGTGCCACACTGTCCCATAATACATACACACATATGAAATACTGACATTTTGAAGGAGACAACACAGAGCAATGTCCCATTCCACCAGTCCAGCTCTTCTATCACCGCACTCCCTGTGATAGTGCATTATTTTACCAGGTGTTGTGTGAACCCACTTGTGTGCACAACTTAACTTTTTCTGTAACTGCCACTAGGTCCCTAGGGTCTCTGCCACATGGATACAGTCCTGGGTGCTGGGGCACCAACTGCTCGGGAGGGAGACAGGCAAACCACTTCCCTCGCTATGCATGGGACCCATCACCCCTGCCGGTTCTGCTCTCCCACTGTCAGGCTGTCATACCATCCCTTTCTACATCATTGCACTTAGCAATGTGTATGAATAACAGGCCCTGTTCTTTTGATATTCCATGTACCACCATGTACCCCTTTAGAGTAAATTCAGACCAGGCTTGGAAACAGGTAATGAATCTTTACTTGAAGGCTCTGCAACAATACAGTCCATGAACAGTTAGGTCCCTAACTATTCCTAGGCTGCCCATGACATATACCTTTGCATGTAGAAGTCCATACATGGTGAAGTCCTTAGCAGGTGGGTCCCCTGAGGGTGGTAGTGATCATAGGTTACTCCTAGTTACATCTTCCTTGTTGGCCCTTTTGCTTACCTCCCATGCAGTCCTTCCAGTTCCACTGGACCTAGTCTTCCCCCTTTTTACATCACTACTAGGGGAGGGCGAATCCCAGAAAAGCCTGGGAAATTGGCAGACTCAGAGTTAATCATTCCCCACCTGGGAAGTCTAGAATCCTTTTCCTTTTGTATCACCTCCCCCTTCCTTTAGATTGTAAGCTCCATGAGCAGGGCCCTCCTATTCCTTCTGTACTGAAATGTATTGTAATTATACTGTCTCCCTTTATATTGTAAAGCACTGCGCAAACTGTTGGCAGTATATAAATCCTGCATAATAATAACAATAATAATCTAACAACAACCTAACTTGTAGGCACCTGCCTACATGTTTATTTATCTGCTTGCCTGGAGATTGGCTTTAAAGTGAACAATGCAATGATATGTGCTGACTAAAAATACACTATACTTTCCCTGTAGGGGAGCAAGGATGAATGTGCATATTAGTAATTACATGTCATAGTCACAATACGTTTTTATGACACTAATAACTTGTAAATGATAATACCTGCTTGTCTGCTAAAGTTGGAGATCATCCTATGTCAGATTGCTGTTTGCACTTTTTAAAGTCTAACGCCAGCAAAAAAAATTTTTAGTAGTTGTGGATGGAGTTAAAATTTCTGTCAGATATTTATTTCTGTCTATGACCCTAATTGAGAGATTTTCCCTACCAGTATCATATGATTCTGTGATTTAATGTATTTTATGCATGGTGTTTACCTGTAAAAGCCTACCTGGTGTAGACATCGAAAAGCCGAGACTGCTCCTGGGTGCCGTCATCTTGGATATGATAGCAGCCCCTGCAGACTCAAGTGACATCTAGATTGGGGTGCACGGTAAGTGATAGAGCCCCTTCATCTCCCCCTTAGCCTTCACGTACAATTAACACTTGCAGTGGCGTGGAGGGGGAGGGGGGCACTGCAAAGGTAGGTTTTTTTTAATTGCCCTGGAATTGGGCTTTGAGCTCTGAACTTTGCATCCTAAAATTCTGCCTTTTGGCATCCTAAAATTCTGCCTTTCAGGTCTTGTGACTCCTCTTAGAAGCAGTTGCATCTCCTCTTGCTTGCTGCTAAATTTGAATGCTTCCCACCTACCCACAGGACCATTACTGTGGACGGGCGGCACAAGCAGGCTGCATCACATACATGCATGTCAACCAACCTGTTCTGAGTTAGGTACATGCATGCATGCGTCCGCTGCTAACCCCCACTGTCCTTGAGATTTTTATCAACAGGCCAATGATTTATGGCTGAGACCTGCTGATTGGCTGTAGCCAATCACAGAACAGTCCTGTGTTTACAAACACACACGGCTCTGTACAGATCGGTGGTCTGGCTGTTTCTTCTCCAACAAAACAGGGATAAAAAATAGCCAGACCTGTAAGTAAAAGGAACACACAATACACTTGTTAGGAACACAGTTAACCCTTTGATTGCCCCTTGATGTTAACCCCTTCCCAGCCAGTGTGGTTAGTACAGTGTACAGTAATAGCACTGGTCACTGTATTAGTGTCACTATTAATATCAGTGTCAGTTAGTGTACCTCTCAGCCAGCGTCAGCTAGCCCGCCATACTATCACAGTTCCACTATTAGTCACTGATCACCATTGCCAGTATAGCATCATAGCTGCGTAAATTCCAGTATAAATATAATAATTAGTAGAAACTATACATTTCACACAAACCAATTAATACTTATTGGAATTTTTCTTTTACCAAACACTTGTAGCACAATATATTTTAGTCTACATGTATGAATAAATTAGATTTTTTATTGGATAAGTTTTATAACAGAAAGCAGAAAATACTTTTTTTTTTTTTTTCCCTCAAAATTTTCTGTCTTTTTTTTGTTTATATAATAAAAAATAAAAAACCCAGTGGCTATCAAATATCACCTAAAGCAAGCTCTAGTTGTGTGAAAAAAAAATTCAATTAACTTAATTTGGGTACAGTGCTGCAAGACTATGCAATTGCCAGTTAAAGTAGCGCAGTGCCAAATAGCAAAAACCGCCCTGATCATGAAGGGAGTAAAACCTTCCAGAGATCAAGTGGTTAAGCACAAATGTTCAGATCTGGTTGACAAAACAAATTAGAAAAATACACCCAAATTGTAGTGGTAGTGTTCTGTGTTGTCCTATGCTTTGACCCGCAATTGTATTTTGGAAAACAGAGAAATCTAAATGAAGGTCTATATTGGCTAAATGGTTAGCACTTCCACCTGGCAGTACTAGGGTTGTTTGCTTTAATCCCAATCACGGCACCACCTGCCTGGAGTT